CGGAAAGATTCTGTCAGCACAGAAATTACACATTGCTCCGAGTAACACGAACTGTGCTCGTTGAAGTTGTATGCGGAAATGCAAACTTATCACCTTAGAAAATATTCTCCTTCATTCAGACAGCAGCTCCTCTAGTGCCCTGGCCTCAAGTAACAACATTCCTCATGCTTCTATGAAGACATTTCCTCCATTCTCACCACAAAGGCTTTTCCTTGCTCTTCAGGCTGATTTTTCTAGGGCTAGTTTTAATTTCCCTTCTCTCCTCAGTTCCAAGAAAAGCATCCAAAGTGATTCCAGTTGGAGCCCTTGAGCTTTGTCCCTGGCAGGGGTCAAACAGCACCTTACCTTGACTGTGGAGGAAGAGGTTGCAATCTGAATCACTTGAGCCAGGAGATTTTTGGGAAGCGGGAACTGCGTCAGGGCACGGATGGCAGTGTTGTCGTCTGTCATTTCAATGGAACTCCCTCCTCGGCTAGATAGAAGATGAGAACATTTTGATCCACAAGCACTCACTCTGTGCTCAGACCCACCTCACTTCAGGTCTGCTGCTGAGGTCTCAAACTGAGTAAGTTAAAGGCACAGATAACTTTGGTCACCTGAAAAGTCAGGTTGGATCTTGCTACTGAAACCTGTCAGGCTTTTGGGACAATCATGGGACAATCACCCAGCCCAATAAGGCCACCTACTGCGAAGCAATCAAACCTATACACTAGCACTACAAGCCAGATAAATCTGTTAAATCTGTTGATGTTAATAAATAAATAAGTAAATCTGAATCCAAAGAACATCCCTAAAAACAACCACCACCACCAAGTCCTTAATGATCTTACTCCTATTGACCATTAAAAAAAAAAAATCAAATATTTGGGCTTGTAAAATATGAAGTCAAGCAAACAGGTATGGTGATGAAATGGCCCAGATTAATACTGCCCTCAAAGCCAGGGTGGTCAAACCAGGTCTTAGTGCACACCCCCACCATTTCTGGGAATGGAAATCTCTTCAGGCACAGAAGAACAAGAAAGGCAGGTAACAAGCAGGCAGCAGCCTATCCAAACAGATCCAGAAAAGATGTCTGTGAATTCCCTTGTGATGAGAGTCGGGCATAAGACCAGGCTGCCCCAGTACTGCTCACATAACAAATGGTACAGCAGTCAGTGTGTGGCCCATCTACAGGCCACATGAGCAACGTGGGCAGCTGCAGCTCAACTGTGAGGAACTACAGGGGTGCAGCAGCTCCAAGGAAAAATCCCTCTTTACTGCCCTGGATTAGCAGCTGTCGGGCAGACGTACCTTGCGTCTCTGCCCGGGGTTCGAGCGTCCTGATGTGCCATAGGTAGGTAATCAGAAACATCGATGGCTTCTTCTTCCAGCTCTCCCTCCTCCAGTTCCCCTTCCTCTAGCTCCCCTTCCTCCAGCTCTTCTCTCCTCATGGCTTTCGGCATCCTGCCCTGTTCCATGGGCTGGATGGAATCATCCGGCTCCATCCGTCGCCAGCAGGTGGACAAGTCGGCGAGAGAAGGGCCAGACTTGGAGCGCCACTTGCCCTCGGAGCACCACCTCTCATCGGGACAGCCGAGCTGGTCCGCGAAAAGCCGGTACTTGGCAGCATCGAAGAGCTCGTTCCTGGGCCCCAGCAAACCCCAGCCCTGCAACAGAAAAAGGCCCCGTTAGCTGCAGGACACGGACAGAGATGGGGAACTGTGGGAGACCAAAACCACATTGCTACAGGAGAGAAACGCCGGAGCAAAAGTTCTTCAGATCCCACAGAAAAAGAGAAAGAAAGGGGACTTGCAGAAAGTTAAAGCTTTCCTCCTGCCATTACTTCTTAAGAAAGGGAATCTGCTCACCAACCTCACTGCCCAAGTGCAATTGCTGAACATGATAACACTTGTTCAAAAGGGTGGGCGAAGATTTATTGATGTTTTACAAACTACTAACTATATTTTGCATTCTGAGGTTTTGAAATCCACCTCAGAGCATGAAATGCATCTTTGTGGAAAGGCTACTCAAAGCAAGTATAATCTGGGACAGCACAAGATGGGAATTCAGGGAATGGTTCACCTTTCTTTTCACAGGAAGTTACTTCTATAAGCAGTAATTAAGACCTCCCTAACGCAGCAGTTTCTGAAACAGAAGAGTTCCTAATTACTGCTGGTCTACCACCTACATTTAGGACTGAACCTGAAGCTCCAGACGTATCTGGAACACAACACGTGCTGTGTCTTACCAGACCACTGCAATAGAATCCCAGAATGGTTTGGGCTGGAAGGGACCTTCAAAGACCATCCAGTTCCAACCCCCCTGCCATGGCCAGGGA